AGCAAATAAGGCAGAAAGCCTGTGAATTCACGGCTGGTCTGGGCTGCACTGCAAAACCCTGTCTCAAAAACAGAAGAAGAAGAAGAAGAAAGGGGAGGAGCAGAAGAAAAAGAAAAAAGAGGAAAAGAAGGAGAAAAAGGAGGAGGAGGAGGAAGAGAAGGGGAATAGGAGAAGAAAAAAAGAATAAGACAAAAGGAAGAAGAGAAGGAAGTAGAAGAGAAGAAATAGGAGACAAGGAAGAGGAGGAAAAAAGAAAGATGAAGAGAAGGAAGAGGAAGGAGAAGGAGGAGGAACAGAAGTAGAAGTTGTTGAAGTTGCTATAAATACCAGCAACAGCAGCTATAAAAAGTAATTATAAATCTGATGAACATTCTTAGGAAGACTGAATAGAAGGTGATATAAGTAGGAGGCAGGAGGTACAAAGAGCCTATTCAAAAAGTTTCGTTGTGATAAATGGGGAGGAGACAGAAGGTTAAAAGGCCCAAGCAGGATGGGTGAAAATTAATATTGAGAAATACATGATGTGGTGGATCAAAGAACCCAGGACAGGGAAAAAGTGAAAAGCAGGGAAAAGTGACAGATTGGGAAAAAACCAAAAGGGCAAATAAGTCTGGGTAACACTAAAGAATAGAAGTAAATACATGAGAAAACTGGAATAACAGAAGACAGTAATGAGACCAGGATGCTAAAGTTCCCTATTTCCTAAATGGAACAGGGACAACAGGTGATCAGGTTTAGCATTCAATCAATCAATGGCAAGGCTGCTGGTGGCGGAATGGAGTTGAAAGAGGGCAGAGGGTTGTGAAAGTCCCAGGGGCAGACAAGGTCAAGAAAAGGGGGCACAGAATGTTAGATTATCCACAGGGACACACTGGGCATTCGAGAGATAAAAGATTTTAGAAAGAAAAGGACACTGACAAGCCGGGCACCACAGACTAAGTCTAATGTAGATGCAATTCCAGAAAGGGGATAGCTAAGGTATCCAGATATAATGCACCTTGAAGGAGAAAGGTTTTTAAGATGGAAGAATAATGGTTTGAAAGAAGTACTGGTTTGAAAGAGGAACCAAGAGATGTCTAATACACCGCATACAACCCAGTTGAAAGGGGAAAGCAGCTTCTACTCTGTAAAAGATTTGGAATACAAAAAATTTTTGTGTTTTTAGCAAGGCAACAGAAGGAAAATATTCAACATAACAAGCCCACAGCTACCCTTATACTCTATGACAAAACGTGAAAACTTTTCTTTTAAGATCATAAACAACACAAGGATATTCTTTTGCCCTACTATTCAACATAGTCCTAACGTGTTGGAAAAGAAGGAAACACTTAAGAAAGCAATCTCGGGCTAGGGATGCAGTTCAGAAGCAGTGTTTTCCTGGTGTCCAAAGGCCCTGGGTTCAATCAGCAACACCATGAAAAAAACAATAAATACAACTTAAGACATCAATCCCATTTATAAGAGGATCGAAGAAAATAAAATATTTAGGAGTAAACTTAAACACAATAAAAGCTACAAAAACAAATAAATAGAAAGACATCCATATTCACAGATTAAAAAACTTAATTCTGTTAAAATGTCCAGACCACGGGGGCTGAGGATTTAGCTCAGTGGCATAAGCACCTACCTTGCAAGCAGGCAGTTGTGAGTTCGATGCCCGGTACCGATGAAAAGGAAAAAGACAAAAAAAAAAAAAAAAAAAAAAAATGTCCAGACCACAAAGTGATCTACATATTCAAGGCAATACCTATCAAAATCTCATGGCATTTTTGGTACAAATAGGAAAAAACTAATCCTAAAATTCAAATGGAATCTATGTTAAAGTGACTCCAAATACCTTTAAACATCTGGAAATAGAACAAAGTTGAAGGTTTTGTACTTCCTAATGTCAAGACTCATTACAAAGCTATAATAATCAAAACAGTGTAGAAGTGGGATAAGGACAAATACATAGACCAATGGGACAGAAAGAGAGCCCAGAAATAGATCCTCACATATGTGATCAAAAGGTCTTTGGCTAGAGTACTGAAACAACGCAACAGGATGCTTTTCCACAAATGGTGTCAGGAAACCAGGATAGCCACATGTCAAAAAATCAAGCAGAACCTTCATCGTATACCATATATAAAATTTAACTCAAAAAAACAGACTAAACATAGACCTAAAACTATAAAATTCCTGGATGGAAACATACAGGAAAATCTTCATGACTTTGGATTTGGCAATGATTTCTTACACATTAGTCCCAAAGGCACAAAGAGCAAAAAACAGATAAATGGAACTACAACAATTTTAAAACTTCTGTACATCAATGGGCAAACTTAACAAACTGAAACAACATATAAAATGAGGAAAAGTATTTGCAATTCATGTATGTTCTCAAGGCTTAATATCCAGAATATATAAAGAAATCCTACAACAACTTAACAACAATTAAAAAATAATAATAACCAACAAATAACCCCACTGAAAATCAGGCAAAAGATCTGAACAGATGTTTCTTCAAAGAAGATATGTAAGTGACCAACAGATATAAAAAAAGTGCTTGATATCATTGATTATTAGAGAACCACAAATCAAAACTGCAATGAGCTATCAGTCACATGCATCAAGATGGCATTACTATCAAAAAACAAAACAAACATATTATCTGTGAGGATGAGGAGAAATCAGAACTCTATGTAGTGCTGCTGGGATTTGTAAAATGATACAGTGGCCATGGGAAACAGTACAAAAGTCCCTCAAAAAATAAAAACAGAACTATCACAAACTCTAGCAATCTCTAGGCTGGGGATATAGGTCAGTGGCATAAGCGCCTGCCTGGCAAGTACAAGGTCCTGAGTTCAATTCCTGACACTAAAAAAAAAAAAAAAAAAGTGAAGACCTAGCAATCTCACTTCTATGCATGTTCTCTAAATTCTGTTAAATGCAGAAAGTTAAAGATATTTGCATATCCAAAGTTCAAGACAGCATGAGTCCCAATAGCCAAGGAACAGAAGCATCTCCACATGTCCATTGACAGAGGAATGATGAAAATGTGGTCCAGAAATCCAATGGGACAGTAATTAATCAGCCTTCATAAAGAAATCCCTCCACATGATACAGTATGGGTGAACCCTAAGGAGGTTCGGCTAAGTAAACAAAAGCCAGTCACAAAAAGACAAATACTATATAGAAAATGAGAGCAGAAGGGTGATTGCAGGAGCTGGAAAGGGCAGAAAAAGGGGAGTTATTGTTCAACCACATAGACTTTCAGTGTTACAAAACACAAATGTTCTAGAGACCTGTTGTACAACAATGTGAATAAGCTTAACACCCTGAGCTGTACATTCACAGGTGCTTCAGGTGGTAAATTTGATGTTACGTGTTTTTCACCACAACTCAAAAATAAAAGGGGCTAAATACTACGAAAGGCATGCAGAAGAAAAGTGTAGAAAAAAGAAAAGCAAGAAGACAATGAGGGTTTGAGTGTGAGGCAGTATCCTTGAAGGCTGGACAGAGCAGAAGGAGGCCTCCAGGCTCCATCCACATTTCCAGTTCAAGCTGTTTCAGAACCAATTCAAAATAAGGCCTTCTCCTGCTGGAGACCTATTGGGCCTTTCTTTAACGTCTCAAGACTACAAGGGCAAGAAATCATCACAGTTTATCTCTGTGTACATCCTGAATAACAGACACAGTTCCTCAAGTCTTCACTGAGTTATGGAAGCATAGTAAGCCCTGGTGGGAAGGAGGGTGCCCTGTGTAGCTCAGAGTTCCTACAAGGAGGTACAGAAGCCTCTGCTGCAGGGCTTATGTATAGTTAGAAAAGGGAGGACAAGCCAAACATTACATGCCTTATATAACACTTGTTAAAATATCTGTGGCATTCTGGTCTTGTTTTGTATTAAAAATAGTCTGCTCTTTTCTTGTACATTAACGCATAGAACTCAAATGCTCACCTTCAAGAATATTTCGAAGGGGGGCTGGGGATTTAGCTCAGTGGCATAAGCACCTGCCCTGCGAGCAGGCAGTTGTGAGTTCGATTCCCAGTACCAATAATTTAAAAAAAAAAAAGAATATTTCGAAGGAAAAGAAGAGGGTTAGGTTGCAACCAGTACAGCTACCAAAAAGCAGACACCACAGTGCATTATAGTTATTTCTGACAGTGGTGACTTGAGAATATTCACAAAAGCAAATCTGAATCTCCTTTCCAATGTGGAGACTTCTAATACAAAAGACACCCAGTCTGTTTTCTATTTAATAAAGCAATCTTTTAAGACATCTGGATTTTAGTGTTACTGCATTATATTAAGCTGTGACAGATACCAGATCCACAAAAAACTGCAATTTGATTGGCTGTTTTAATGCCTTTTATGATTTCTGTACAAACACATCTCTGTTTATTTAAGTCTTATTACCATATTAAACCAGAAGAGGAGCTTTGGTACTTTCTTTTCCCTCTATGCCCAACGGCTAATAAAATCCATGATTGCACTGAATTCCTTATTCAAACAAAAAGGTTGAGAGTCTCTGTCTCATTTAAATTAAACTAGGCTAATGGGATAGATGAAGGTAGTCACAGGGGAAGGAGGACAGAGAGCTAATACGCACCCAGCAGCCGGAATGGTGACAGAGCCAAAGAACAAAAGAAGGAAAGTCCCAGGGAGATACACGAGTTCCAATTCCCATCCACCATGAACTTGAGAAAGGACTTTACTCCCTTAAGGATGGGCCCTAATTTCTTCATCTCTAAATAAGATGAATAAAAATAGCTTCCTTTCCAACTTCACTATTATAACACTATTATATGAGTGTTAATGGTTCCCTCGAGTTTCAAGGATACATAACTGATTACAATAGGAAGCCTTTGCTGTCTTGGTTTTGGTCTGAACAATTTTTTTTTCAGTGTTGTCTCAGTGTTTTACAGAGACAAACAGGTAAAAAGAATCTCAACCTCATGCCCTTCTGGACTGCTCTGTGTGTGCGGGTGCAGGTGGGGGTGGTGATAAGTCCATATTTACCAGTGTTTTCCATACAGCCAGTGGCCTCCCCATGTCAGCAGGCAGAGCCCAGCTGTGGTTTTCTTCCAGTGATTTCGAAGTGTTTTAAAGAACACGGTCATCTTCTCTTAGAGATTTTCCTAGATTAGGGGAGGCAGAAATAGAAAAAAGAAATATAATTGTCTCAGGTAATCATGTAGCACCTTATTTCTCTTCCCCCATTCTTTCATCCGCTTTCTCTTTTCCTTCCTTTTGGCTGTCTCCTTTGCAAGTGTGCTCTGGTCTCTCCTCATCTTTACCCTTCAAGTCTCATTACTGTCACCTTCTCATCTAGCCACCTCCCCATCAATTTTTCTTCATTGTATTTAAAAGAAGGAGGGGCAGAAAGAAAAAGATTTCCAGGCTTTCTCTGGTTTTTCTTTTTACAATCTCTTTTTCTTTTTACAACCAGTGTTTTAAGAAAATATGTCAGTCCGTTTTATATATAATGGACCCAGCAACACATTAGTAAGGACTTAGTCAAAACAGAAGAAAACTCCAGGCCCTCACTAGGAAAGTAAGCAGAAAACATACAAAGAAAACTCAGTGGAGAAGAAGCACTATGTTAAAATGCTCAGCTTACAGGGTAATCAAAGACAAGCAGATCATAAAAGACTACCATTACTCACCTATAAAATTAACAAATTTTTAATTACCATATTCACTGATGCCAAAATACAATGAGGTAGACATTCATATACCCCTAGAAGAAAGAGAACTCAGCACAATTTCACTAAAAAACAAAGTGACAAAATATATACATATTCTGATAGTCTTCTCTGTAGCACTTATCACTTGATGATACTTATTTGCTATTCTATTAATAAGTTTATCCCACAGGAATGTAAACTTCATGAGGCTTTTGTTCTGCCCACTACTAGATTCCATGCCTCAAGATCTGGTACATAACAGCTATTTAACAAATGTTTATTCACTGTATGATTTGTAGCAATTAAAGCTGTTTTCCTGAGAATTTTTAAAATGTGAAAGAAACTCAAAATATGTCAAATGAAATTAGCATGATAAAAAGACACATAATTGGTATTATCCCATTATGTTCACATAGAACTATAGATTAAAAAAATAGCAGTACAAATTTAAAAAAAATTTAAAGCCATTTCCTCTACATTCTGTGATGGAAGGTGATTTTTAAAATTCAACTATATATGTAATCTAAAAGTAGTACAATTTTCTAAAGAAATACTAAAATCAAACCATATGGGAAATACTTCCCAGAATCAATAACTGAAATCTCGTCTTTTTTTTTAAATTTTATTTTGAAAGTAGTACAAATACAACAGAACAAAGCCAATCAAGACAATGCAGTGAAATTGGTACAGAACTTTACAGCAGGATGCTGGGATGGTAGTAATAGGTACCACAGTATATCTCATTATCTGCACAATAGTTGTCCAGTCAATTAGATATAGCAAAATCAAACCAAAAACGGAACATTACAAAACCAATTGAGAATATTGAATAGAGCAAAGAGATCTTGTCTTATTAAAAAGTTTTTGCATGTCAAAAGAAATCTCCAACAGAGTAAAAAGGAAACCCATGAATTTTGAAAAAATCTTAGTCAACTGTCCCTCAAAGGACTTCTACCTAGAACATATAAAGAATTACAAAAAAAAAAAAAAAAAAAAAAATCAGAGCCCCAAAATTCAAAGACCCAATCCAAAAATGGGCATCTGAGATGAATACACAGTTCTCAGATGAAGAAATATAAATGGCAAATAAATACATGAAAAAATGTTCAGCATCACTGGTCATTTGAGAAATGCAAATTAAAACCACACTGAGATTTCATCTCACTCCAGAAACAATGGCCAGGATCAAGAAAACTACCAACAACAAATGCTGGAGAGGCTGTGAGGAAAAAGGAACACTTCTGCACTGTTAGTGGGAGTGCAGACTGGTGCAACCACTGTGGAAATCAGTGTGGAGGTTCCTCAGAAAGCTGGGATTGGAAGTCCCACTTGATCCAACTATTCCACTTCTGAGCATATTTCCAGAAGAAATGAAAACATCATACCACAGTGATACATGTGCACCCATGTTTACAGCTGCACAATTTGTAGTAACCAGATATTGGAAACAACCTGAGGAGTGGATTAAAAAGATGTGGTACTTTTATAAAATGGAGTACTACTATAAAGGGTACAGCTATAAAGAATGATCACATTGAGAGTTTTATAGGTAAATGGATGCAATTTGAGGCCATACTCGTAAGTGAAATAAATCAAACTCACATGTGTAAATACCGTATAGTCTCCCTAGTGTAAGAAAGGGAAAACATATTTAAGATACAAAATCCTCAATAAATACTGTGAAAGGGTAAAAATCTGCTCAAAGGGGGAAAAATAATTCAAGGAAAAGGAGAAAAAAAAGGGAAAAGAAAAAGTATCTAAATTTGTATAAACACACTTAAGATAGCTAAGATGATTGTGCTACAAATTCTATTAGTTATTGGAACAAAATTGTTAACATTCATAGGATTGGATAAATTTTGGATGTTTGTGCCTGGTAAACTGAGGAACTCTTTTGGAGATCACTATGTAAAATAACAACCTTAATTATGTTCCTACCACCTTGTTTTTAAGGCCTATTATTGTCATTGTTTTGAGTTCTTTGCTCTTGGTTGTCTTTTTTGTTTACTGTTTTTCTAGTGTTTTGTTTTGTTTTGTTTTTCCCTCTAATACAGAAAAGATAGATGTACATGTAGAGACTTATACACGCCTAAAACTTCTAAACAGTTTATGAGAATCGACTGTATTATGCGTGACGATATGAACAGCTACTTTGAAGAGACATTATGATATCCTTTGCTGATTTCCTATCATCATGCTGTGAAATCCAGTAATGCTTTTATTCTTTGTTTAAAGAGGTTTTAGTCTGTTTTGTATTATTTAATTTCAACATATATGAAGGTATGGACAGCTATTTTGAAAAGAACAAGAGACATTACAGTAGCCATTGTTGATTTTCCTATTGTCTGGTTTTGAAGACCTGTAATGCTTCTATTATCCTGCTTTGATTAGTTTTATACTATTTTGTTTTATATTAATTCATTGTGTGTGAAGATATGGACAACTATTTAGAAGAAAACAAGAGACATTATGGTAGACAGTGTTGATCTCCTGTTGTCTTACTTTGAAATCCTGTGTCACATTGTTTTCCTCTGATCTGCTTTGTTCTGTTTTTTTTTATGTTTTGTTTTACCCTCTTTAAAATAAAAATTTAAATAAATAAATAAATAAGCATACAAATGTAAGCAAAAGTACTAATGACAACATGTGGGGGAAGTAAAGAGATCATGAAAACAGCTCCTTCCACTGAGAAGTCCAGTTCTTTTACAACTCCCTATAGACCACACTGATTAGAAGTCCTCTCATGGAAAGCTGCACCTCTCCTGTGGCAACAATGATGCCAGGACTAGGGAGCCCACTGGCCCATGAATCCTGGATCCTGTCCAGAGTGGCAAAAAAGGTCCCGAAGACCCCTCTAACTGTTGAACTGCTCTCCAACCCACCTTAAACCACTCCTTCACTCAAAAGGCCTTTGATAAATACCTATATGCCGGCTCTGTGCCGGGAGCTATCTCACAGGAGAGAAAGTCAAGTGCTCCCAACTCCTAAACCCACAATCACAATGCAATTACACAATGATGCTGCGATGTAGTGAGATGAAAGCTAGGGGGTGAGCACAGGCCCTATCCACAAGCACAGACCTAACCCAGACTGGGAGTGAAGACGCCATGCAGGATCAGAAGTTTTCAGTCTTGAAGATTAAAGAGTCACCAACTCGTGTGAATGCTGTCATCTGGATGTGTCCTTCTGAAATCATATGTTCAAGTCCTAATCCCCAGTGAGATGGCATTAGGACTAAGAGCCTTTGGGAGGTGTAAGGAAACACCCTCATGAATGGGGTAAGTGCCCCTGGGAAAAGACATACCAGAGAGGTTCATTCATTATGTTTCCTTTCTCTCTCTACCCAAAATGTGAGGACACAGACAAACAGCCATGTGTAAACCATGAAGAGGGTCCTCACCAAGGTGCCCACTGCCGGCACCTCGATTTCAGACTTGTGGCTGCTAGAACTGCGAGGAATCTCTGTTGTTTAAAAGGAACATAACACTAATTTTGTCATCAAGGCACAGAAACATGGGTCTATCAGACCCATGTTTATTCATATTTAGAATATACTGATGAATTATTAATTTTAATTTTATAAGTTTCATATTAAATAATAAGTACTTAATAGGAAAAATCACGGTAATATTTTAGTATTTAGTGAGCATTTATAAAAAAAGCATCCAAATTTTCAACATCAATTGTTTTGGTATTTAGACTTAATCTAAAAAAGAACAATGCAAATTCTTATATGAACTATAATGAAAATTACAATAGTATTTTATCAAAAAATAATCTTTACTTTAATTATCACCCCTAAGGCAGTCTGCACACATGACAAAAACACACTCCCTAAACATGCATCACTTACACCGATGGCACACATGTTTTGCCTTCCTGGCCTGTTTGTAGGATATACCTGACATCTCAGTGGTCTTGCCTTTTGGCAGGAGGGTCTTATTATATTATACAGTGTATAGCTAACAAGAACATAAAATATCAATAAAGTATTAATTTCTCACTGCGTATTGTGTTTAGAATAAACATCAACATTTTCACATCAGTTGTGTACTTGCTTACAAAACGTAAAAGATAACATCAGAAATAGATTCCTCTATTAACTACAGTGAAAATACCAACAGAACTCCACCATAAAAATAAGCTTTGCTTCAACTGTCCACCCAAGGCAGTCTTTATGATGACAACTGCATGTTCCATGTACATGCCTTGCTTACACTGACAGCATGTGTGCTTAGCTCTCTTTTCCTGTGTGACAGCCTTGTCACCTCTGCTTTGTCAGGATCTTCCTACTATACTGTACAACATGCGCTTAATAGGGAGATAAAATATCGAATCTATAATGAGCGCTTAGACTAGACATCAGCATTTTCACATTAGTTGTTTACTTGCTTATAAGACCTAAAGATAACATCAAAAATAAAAACCTATGTGAACTACAATGTAAAAACAAGTCTACCACAGACACAAACTTTGCTTCAAGTGTCACACCCAAGCAGTCTTCACATATGCAGCTGCATGTTCCATACACACGTACTGCTTACATTGATAGCACATATGTTGTTTTCCTGTACTTTCTTCTATAGGGCACAGTTGACATCTTTTTTGTTTTCCTATTGTTGTAAAGGTCTTTGTGATGCTGTGCCTACCTGTACCTGTCACCTCACCAGTGCATGCCACAATTTTTTTTCCATACTTCCCTGGGCAGAAATACTTCTTTTTCCTCTGCTGTAAATGTTCTCTTATGAGCTCCATTCCTAAGCCTTAAGGAAAATTTCTCCATATTTTGCACTTGTTATTTTCTTTGGAAACTATCAAACTATTTATGCCACACGTTTACGACTGCGTTAAACACAACCATTGGCCAATAATTTGTGTTTCAAATGACATCACAGTTGCTGCATAACTCTTCAACAACATCCACCCCACCTTTGGTTTTGTTGTTGAAAAGTTTCCATCCAAGTTTCTGTTTTGTCAAGGTTTCCCTATCAGTATTTCCATCATGGTTAAATGTTGCCATATATAAGGCCCATGTTATAGCCTTCTGAAATTCTAAGATTGTACTATAGATATAGAATTCTCTGCTTTGAAATTACAATACTTCATTTGGAATTTCAGCTTTGTTCCTGTGTATAGTTTCCATGCTAGTCAACTTGTGCTCTCTTAGCAAATGTAACGTCAACTGGAAACAATAAACCAACTGTCGAACTAATAGTCTGATTAGTTCAGGAAATGGGAGCAATAAGTCTGTTCACAACATCATTTGGTTTATTACTGTACAACTAGGGACTTGATGCCTGAATTCCAGGATAAATATTTAAATTGAAAGCATAGTCCTGGCATTGATAAGGGCATACATTTTTATGCCATATCTTCACACTGCTTTTCAGTCTTCTGTATTCTTGCAATCATCATGTGAAATCCCTGCTAAATAGGTTTCATAATAAATACACTTTTAAATATGGCCATTGGTGCATATAGAATCTTTTATCTGTATTTCATTCTTTGTGTATTTCATAGCATCTTGTAACATTTCAACTGTTACAATTTCCAACACTAAATGGCAGTGCTGGCATTCTGTCCAAGACCTTTCATCCTTGCCAATATCCTAACTATATTTTCAGACCTAGTTCTAATGTTGGATTGTTCTATTTGGTTGCATGGCCATTTTGCAACATTTTTACTAATCAAATATGTATTTACATTGCTGTTTTCATCATCTGAATCAAGGGGATTTTCATACCCTACGTCTGTATCAGTCAATTCTTGCACCATTTCACTGTCACAGGAAGTTTGGCTCACATGGCCAACATCAAAGTTGTTATCATCATCATCATCATCTTCATCAACACCTTCATCCATCTACACCACCCTTCTGTTATGAAAGCATGTATTTTACCATAATGGATTATCATCATCATTCATGCATAAGTAATCTGATGATTCACTTTTGACCTCCTCCAAAACTTGCAAATCTGATTTTTCATTGTACTGAAATTGGACTAATTCTACCAGAAAAATCAAAAGAAAATATATATATATATATATATATATATATATATTTTTTTTTTTTTTTTTTTTTAGCAAATCCTGGAATGGTGTGCATCTACTGGACCCTCTGTGATGCTCAGGCAAATATAAACAAAACAAAGTTACATGGAGCATTAGGTAGGTAAAAATCCTACTTTGCCACTTTTAAACATGTGAACACACCTTGCTGTTCATCATACCAAGTGGGTAAACACATAGATTGCTTCCTGTATCTGTCAGGGAAAAGTACTGAGACACATTGCCAGTTACTATTATGCTAGAGCACAAATTTACAATAGAAAAGTAAGGGATGGGTTCACTGGACCCAGTCTTATGCACTTCCACTCTTTTATTCTAGCAGCCTGAACTAAGACAGGCTTAACTAAAGCAAAAAGCCAGCATATTCAGAGAAAAACAGGTAGTATAGGAGAAAAGAGACCGCTCACCCATCACTAGTTTCAAAGCTGAGAAAAAGATTAAACAGAGAAAATCATACAAATTTACTTAATCCAACTTTATCTGACACCAGAACCTTCAAAAACAAGGGCCCAAGTAGGAAAACCTATGTATTTCTGTGTTGTTTAGTGACAGTTGTGCACAAACATAACTGAACAAAGGAGTAGACTCTAGTAGTAATAATAAGAGAACACAGCTGAGCCTTTTTGTTCAGATTCTCCTCTGTCCTTGCAGCTTCAGGGACAAGAGTATCTCCTTCCTTCATGTATGGGATGGGTAGCTCTGGCATGGAAGTCTTTCACAGAATAAGAACACATACTCTGAACTCTTTCATGGTCTACTTCAGGGAAGAGTATGAGAAGGTCAGGGAGTGATCTTCCCACTTCTGCTGCTTCCTCAAATGCCAAGGTGTCATATTCTGTGGTAACGTCCTGAGCCCTGACAAATGGTCTGATATGGATATATTCAGGGTGGGCATAGCAGTATGTCTACATAGGAGTTCTGAATAGTTAGTGTAAAGCTTGTCAAAAATGTACAGAACTTTTTAAAAATAAAAAACATTATTTTGGGGGCATTATGACCCTCTTCAAAAATGCTCACTTGTTCTGGAATTTAACTGCTGTCTGCAATTTTAGCAAGCATTCCTCTAATTGTAATGGAGGTCAGTACTATACCAGACTCTTAGAAACACTGGTTTCTCAAGAGAAGAGACAGAAGAGGGTAAAGAAATGTGAGAAAAGAACCCACAATAAGGACTTCAGGACATCTTGTGCAGAAGACAATGAAAATAAATGACTAAAGCAGGTAAGTGATATGACTGATCACACTTAAACAATAGGAAGTTCACTTTTCAGCAGAATGCAAAATGGGATGGTACAGTAGAAGCTGAAATCAAAGCTAATCAGAGCCAGTAGGAAGTTATTGTCATAATTTCTGAACACCTTACAGCAGAAAAGAATGAGAGAAATGGTGAGGGAGTGGATTTGGAGGTCTTTAGAAAACAGAAATTAGCAGCACTTGAGCAACTGATTGCAGGTGAGAAGAACAACCAAATTAAGTTGTGTACTTGGGCAATTAGTTGGAGAATGTGTTCAAGGAAAAGTCCAGTGGCATCTGGGCAGTTTGAAGCCAGGAGACACTGAACAGAAGACACAGAGCTGGGATTCAATGGTATGCAGGTCAAATCTTGGAAGAGCAAAAGGAAAAGATGCCAATAAATTAGGGAACGATCTAGAGGTCCGGAAACCTTTTAAGAGGCTATTCCTGCTGGGTGTGGTGGTGCAAGCCTGTAATATCAATTGAGGGATTATAGGAGACTGAGGAAAGAGAAGTGCTGAGTTCGAGGCCAATCTGAGCTAGGCGTTCATGGCCAGCCTGAACCACATAATAAGACCCTGTCTCCCAAAAGAAAGAGACAGACAGACAGACCATGCCTGACCCAGAAACTCCCTTTGGTCACCAACAAATGATTTGTGTATTATAAAAATAACGGAGTGATAAGGCAAACGAGAGTGAAAACTGGTCCAACCGTCTAGGACTAAATCTTAGCCCTAGCTTTGTGGTGGTGAGAACATAATTTACTAGTGGTAAAAGCCTGAATAAATCATTTTAACTTTTGCTTCAGATGAGAATGCACCATCTGCTTTAAATACCTCATTTAACTATGCAGATCACAGATGATGAGTTGTGAATGTAATTAGCAAATATTTCTGTTTTCACAATATGCAATGCATTGACAATGTGCATTCTCTTCTAAGTAACCAGAATTCTCATTCCATAATTTCAGTATGTCAGCATGTATGTTCAAACATATCCTGTTTTAAAAGCAGATATTCTGCCCTAAAGAATTTCCCTCTGCTAATTATATCCAACACCCCAGACGTGGGGGTGGGGATGGATGGAGGGGGATTTCGTTAGCGAACGATTCAGCTAGAGACTGTAGCCACCTGCAGCTCCAGAATGAATGAACCAACCCGCCCATGCACACCTCGCACAGTGTTGGCCGCATTTTGGGTGGGAACGCACTGAAGCCCGAAGAGGAAAGCGGGTGCGGGCCCCCAGTCAGGACGGCACTAGAACTCGAATCCTGGACTTCTGCCTCCCTTGGCGGACCACCGACAAGCGCTACGCCGGCCTTGCCGGGCTCCCACATCCCTCCACGCCGCGTCGCCCTGGGGCCTGCGGCCGCGGCACCGCCAGGCCAGCTCCACTCCAGCGGCTCCATTCCACGACCTGGCCCCGCGCCCCGTGTCCCGAACCCCCCGCGCCCCACACCCAGCGTCCCGCAGCCCCGCGGGCTCCCGGCACTCACCGCTCCGGGCCACTCGCCGTCTGCTTCCTGTGTGCTCACCCAACACCGCCCGGCTCGTTCGCGGGAAACTACTGCCGTTGCCCTCAGGTTCCGTTGCGGCTACGAAGCCTGGTGCTGCTCTCGGAGAGGGGGAGGGCGGACGACAGAGGGCAGGGGTCGAGGGTTCTTTTTCCTTCACGCCTTTGCTCATTCATTCATCCTTCCACCTATCCATCGTCCAAAGGTATTTTCTGAAAAGCTCACCAAGGCAAACGCTGTATAGGACATAGAATTAAACTGAAAAATAGTTAAATGAATAAAGTTCCCCCAAACGGTATTTGGCAAGCCTCTTATGCTCCCTGTGCCTCAGTTTCCACAAGCTAGGCATGGGTGTTCTAATAGTCCTCTCTCTAGTCATTGTTAGGACTGAAACAGAAAATGTGCCTATCAAGGGCTTGATACACAGTACACACGCAGAAATAGGCGTTCACTACTCCACTTTCCATAGATGCTGCTTGCATGTCTGCTAGGTAGAAGCCACCAGCGTAGGCTCTTGAGATTTGTTAACAAGCAATACAGAGTATTCAGACAAAATATATCCATTTTGGGCTTCGTATTTAGCTCAGCAGCATAAGTGCCTGCCTTGCAAGTGCGTGGTTGTGAATTCGATCCCTGATACCGATAAATAAATAAATCCATTTTTCAGGAAGCTGCTATTCCAATGTGTGTACAAATCTGTGTGTGTGTGTGTGTGTGTGTGTGTGTGTGTGTGTGTCTATTTTTAATTATTGAGTGGGCGTTGAATGGGTTTAGGAACTCACTGGCAATATGCTGCTGTGTTACTGGGCTCCTTCTCTAAGACAGGTGGCTTAATTGAGGCCTCCTGAGTAAGTGGCAACTGATCTGAGACCTGGAGAAGTAGGAAGGGCAGGGTAGCCAAGGTCCAGGAAAAGACAGAGTCAGGCAGAGAGTTTGGCATGTTGGAGGCCAAGAGAGGTGAGGCCCAGAGAACTGGGAAATAAAGTGTGGGATGAAGATGAAGAGGTTGGTATGATGGTGGGGGAGACCAGAATGTGCTTCCCACAATATGCCGATGTCTTAGTTACTTCTCTCCTTGCTGAGATAAAATAACTAACATCCAAAATTAAGGAAGGGAAAGTTTAATTAGCTCAGTTTGTAGAGGTTTCAGTGTATAGTTGGCTGCTTATAGGGCAGGTTGACTTTGCAAAGGACAGCTCATGGTGGCAGAAGACAGCAGACTCAACAACCAAACCTTAACAACATTTTTCTGCCCCTTTTATACTCTATCTAGGCTGCTGGGATTATGGTGATAGCAAACCAGTCAGTGAGCCAATCACACACTCTTAATCCCAGCATGACACACTAGAGATTCAGCCACCTCTGGAAAGCGTGGCCTCCTGAAGACTATATAAGCCTTTGGGGAGAAATCAAGACACAAACCATAACAGCAGATTATTGAGCTGAAACTGTGAGGGAGAAACAGAAAAAGAAGAAGAAGCTTCTTGCCCTATGAAGAAAGTATCAGCCTCTCCATCAGAGAGAAGAAGACTTAACTTTGAAGAGAGACGGCATTGGGGTAACAACTTGACTAACTTTTATCCATCATCTATTTGCCTTTCCCCAAGGTGGTACCCATAAAGACTCGAAGTTCTTTTTCTTTGTTTTGTCAAGTCTATACACTGTTTTTGATGAAAACACTGCATAAATGAAAGATCAAAATCACTGCTTTTATTTTTTTGTGGTGTACACGTTATTAAACACACTTATTTGCTTAAATTTGTCTTTTGTTATGGGACTCTATCCCAACTTCCAATTTATGAGTATTGAGAAGAAATTCTATTTCCTCCCTGACAGAAGTAAACAGTTTGAACATTAACTGTAGTAAGATGGTGTCTCAGTTACATTCTTATTGCTGAGACATAATACCTGACAACTACGATTAAAAAGAGGAAACGATTATTTTAGTTCACAGTTTGCAGAGGTTTCAGTCCATAGTTGGCTGGGTGCAAAGCAGGATGGTATGGCAGAGAGGCATTGCAGAGGAGAAACAGCTAAGGGCATGGCAGGCAGGAAGAAGAGAGGAGTCAAAGGAGGAGGGGGACATAGGCCCTCCCAGGCTACACTCCCAGGGACCCACCTCTTTCCACCAAGCTTCACCTCCCCATATCACACCAAGCTATACACCCATGCATGGACTAATCCAGTGATTAGTATCACACATGCATGATAAGCCACATCCCCAAAACCCCACTTATATGTACATGTGGGTTTGGAGAGTTATCTAAATATAAACCATGAGAGATGGAATTTGGTCAGGTAATGGTGGGATCTGATATATATTATTATGCATCTCTCTGGCTGTACTTATGTGAGTGGATTCTAAAGATCAAGAGAGCTATGAGAAACCAGCACTTCTGTCCTCAGCCATCTGTCCCCGCCATCACCATTGGCATAGGGACCAAGCCAAGTGACACAGATTTCTTTCTTTCCATTTTCCTTCCTCCATTCATTCAGCCAGCCAATATTTCCTGAGTGGATATGCCCAGCCCCATCATAGGCCCTGAGTATGTGGTCTTGTTTAGCACTCTTCATGGTTCCTGCACCTAGAGAGCTTCCTGTCCAGTCTCCCTGTTCCCTATATGCTGACCTGCATCCTGCCTGGTCCTCCTAGATAGGTGCATGAAGGAAAACGAGAACATCCAATGAGGTTATAATACAATGAAGCATACTCCGTGCTCTGATTATTGGGCCACACTAAGTAATAGTGTGAACGTTCTAGCCCTCTCTCCCACATCTCCCTGTAAATTAAGGAACTGAGGAGACCATCATTAAAAAATAAACTCTTCTAGCTCTAAAATATTGTGATATTAAGATAATGGGGTGGGCAATATTATTTTAAACTTATTTTGTCTAACTATCTAAAATGTTTGTGTTTGGGAATGAGTTGCTAAATTGCTGTCCTATGAGTTAGAAAACCCAGGTCTTGATGCCAAGTGGTCTAATGGGTAGTCCTTACCCTGTGCTTATGCATGGCGCAGGGGGTCAGGAAAAAAAGGAGGGAGAGTTTTCTATAATAAGAATAGGTCAGCTTTCATGATATCTTAGTTACTTTTCTCTCATTGCTGGGACAAAATACCCCAACACCAAAAATTAAGGAAGGAAAAATTTGGCTCACAGTTTGTGGCGGTTTCAGTCTATAACCGGCTGGCTCCAAAGCTGTGTGGGATGGCACAGGGGCAACACTTCAAAGTGGTAGAAGACAGCAAAAGCAACAAGAGCAAGAAGGGGAAAAGAGCAAGCCTCTTTCCCTCCCTTATATTGTACACAGGCCACCCCCACCCCTAGGGCAAGAGGAGCACTCACAAAATCTCCCTGTCCTCTTCTTGCACAGGATGAGGATGTTCTCAAAATAAGGACCCTGGCTCCTTACTGAGTCACTTAAACTTCTAAACTTCTAAGGTGACATAACATATCAACCATAACATATGGATTTTCCATAATTTTCCAATCAGAAAAATATTTGAAGAAGCTTTTTTAAAACAAATATATACATATGCTTTTTGTTGTTTTAGATTTTATCTTTGATTTAGATTATATGTGCATAAGGAACACTATTCTCATTTCTATTTTTATGACTTTTAAAGACAAGTATTCTAAAGACAAAAATTTCCATGGCATCTACATTACATGCACGTATGGACTTGACTGCATGGAATGCTCCTGTGCTTCTAAGTGTTCTGGTTATTCCTCCCTATAACCAGAAAGGATACAACCCTGAAGACCCATTTTATACTTCTACCTGCCAAACTACATAAAAATGTGTGTTATTTAAAACTACTAAGTATTTGGTAATTTGTTACGGCAGCCACAAAAAACTAATACATGTCCTCTTAGAATGTGCTTCCTAGAGAATCCAACCTGTGACGGATTGTTATTTCAACATTTTCAGTGAATCTGTATTACCATTAAATCCTTTCAGCGTTCCATGTGTTTGTGTAGGGCTGTTCGCATCCTCATCCCCAATACAAACATGTAGTGTCCCATTCCTCCTCTCTGCCAATCTACTATGGTTCAAATGTCCCTGCCCAAATTGAAACTCTGTTTTCTCTCTGTAAGTGTGATGAGAGATGAAATCTTTAAGGGGTGGTTAGGTCACGAGGGCTCCATCTTATTAGTGAATTTGTGCCATCATCCTCGGGGAGCATTGCTGGTGTCAAGGCTGAGGGACCTGGAGACATAGAGTTACTATGTGCCCTGCTCCTCATAGGCCCACGTCTAGCTTAAGCTAGTTTCAGTCCTATTGACTGATCTTATTTGACTCGGAGCAGTCTCAGCCCCAGTAATTTTCTGGTGTAAAAATTCCTAGACAAAGAGTCCCTATGGTAACCCCCTTTTCAGTTGCTTCCTGACTACTAGGAGCTAGTTTTCTCTTCTTAATAAACATTCCTCCTGTCTACCTCTTTTGTCCTTAACTTCACTCTTCAATTTTGCAAAACACAAATCCAGACTATGCCATTACACTTTTCTGTTATAGCACTAAAAGGAGTCTAAAATAGCATTCTAAACATGCTCCCTCATGAAGCCTCTCATATAGCTACACTATGATTGATCTGACCCTTGTCTTGAACAATGGTAATGTTTTCATCTGCATTACTCACTATAGCTATTAATCATTAACTTTTATGAAATGGAAACAGAAGAGATACTGAAGAAATTTCTGAATATGTATATATTTCTGAATTATATATATATACATTTCTGAAAATATATTACTGAATATATATATATGCACATTAGTATGCACAGTCAAGCTTTGGAGACCTATATGCTAGCTCTACTCTTTCCCAAATCCTGTTTCACTAAGATGTATACAGACTATTCAAATTATTC